GCCAGCCTCACAAAGGAACTTATGACACGGTATACAACAGGTTGGAATGTCACAAAGTGCCATGCCTGCGACACAAAACGACATGACAACCTCCTTGGAAACCTTCGAAAAGGGGAAAATGTTGCAGCTTCCCCCATAGACACGGCGATGCCACAGGAAAACCAGAGACTCGAGACGAAACACGTGGGCGGAGCAAAACGAGCATTTCGTGCGAGACTCCCTCGAATTTTGACACTTTCGACGTGTTATCAAACAGGTTGGAATGTCACAAAGTGCCATGCCTGTGACGCAAAACGACATGACAACCTGCTTGGAAACCTTCGACAAGGAGAGGTTTCGCAGCTTCCCCCATAGATACGGCGACGCCACAGGAAAACCAGAGACTCGAGACGAGAGACGTGGGAGCATCAAAACGAGCCTTTCGTGCGAGACCTCCTCCAATTTTCACACTTTGTAGCTTCAAAATCGACGTTTTCCTACGAGTTTTCGTAGGAACCTCTAAATTTGCGACCTCAAAATCGATGTTTCGTGCAAGAATTCCGTCAATTTTCAGCACATCTCACAAAATGCCACGCCTGCCACGGAATCTGCACCTTGTCGCCACTTGACGCAGCACTGCCAATGGGATTCGCAAAAAAAAGCAACACGACGCGTCTAAAGTGCTGCGCCTGCTACGCAAAATGACGATGGACACGTCCAAAGTGCTGCGCCTGCCACGAAAGCTGCAACGCATCTTCTGAATCTTTTGAAAATGTCGCAAAAGTATTGCGCCTGCCACACAAAACGAAGCAGCGCGACGTTGGAAACCTCCAGAAATGATCCCTTCTGGAGAACTTACCATAGGCACGGCCATATAGCAATCGCGGGGACGGTTGCGAACGGTTGCAGACGGTTGGGCAACGTCGAGCGAACATACCCTCAACCCCCAGACCCCCAGAGTGAAACGGGAACCCTTGCTACGCATTCGGGAAAGAAAGGGAAAGGAAGGGAAAGGAAGGGACAGGAAGGGACAGGAAGGGAAAGGAAGGGAAAGGAAGGGAAAGGACGGGAAAGGAAGGGAAAGAAAGGGAAAGGAAGGGAAAGAAAGGGAAAGAAAGGGAAAGGACGGGAAAGGAAGGGAAAGGAAGGGAAAGAAAGGGAAAAGGAAAGGAAAGAAAGGGAAAGAAAGGGAAAGAAAGGGAAAGAAAGGGAAAGGAAGGGAAAGGACGGGAAAGGAAGGGAAAGGAAGGGAACGGAAGGGAAAGGAAAGGAGAGGTTGGTTGATTTGGAAAGCAGCCGCCGTCGCATGACCGTGCTCAAATGAGCTTGCTTGGCTATTGCACACTGTCACTCAATGTTTCCGTGCAGAGCTGAGAAAATGTCATTTGCAGTGAATGCGTCCATAATGTTCATCTTCAAAAAGATGCTGGCAAGAGGCGAAAAGGAAATAGACCAATTATTGCTCAAATTTGTTTGCTGTCGTTTTGCTTTTGGGTTCTCAGGTCCCCCCTTGTTTTTTGCGTTTGACTATCTTCAGCACTACATGGCCCAAAGGTCACCGATTGGCACGCACAGGAGTAGGCAATTGTTTGATGTTTCTTCTGTCCATATCGATTTTTGGGGTTGAATAATTTTGAGCCCCAGATGTTGTTTGCACATTTGCTGCGCCCAAGGCATGAAATATAAGGCCTGGCACCGGGAATAGCTCTTCTGGTGTCTCATGTGCCAGTCAGTTTTTGCTGGTAATGACGGTTAATAAAGAACTGGAGCGATCATCAAAACGTTCAGGGGAATGATAAACATGGCTAGGGCTAGCAAGCAGCTCCTACTTGCCTGTGAGGGGCTTTGTTTCATTGTTAATTAGCAAACATGCGAAACTTGATGAACATTGCAAGCACCAAAACTTTGACTGCTGGGCTTATAACAACATGCTGGGTATCTTTAAACCATTGTCCTTGGCGGCAAGATCTCTCCAATGCAGAACCCTATCCATATACAGTTATACACCTTTGTAAATTGTTTTGATGCAAGAAATGCTAGACAAGTCTGCGAGTGTCTGACAGCATGAAGTTTGTGGGGAAACATCTCCGGTCACCTGCTTCCCCTCCCGTTCTTGCAGGTTTGGTATAGTGATTCCGGCATACTTCAATTTCGGGCCAAGGGTGCCATTGGAGCGAATCCTGTGAAACGATCAAAGATGTGCCGTCCAACGCCGTTGGGTCCACAGGGTGTGGATTAAACTTGGGTCCCGGCAAAATTGGGCGGCTTTCGATGGTTTAATTGTGTTTTATGAATTCAATGCTGAAACCAGAACCTAAAATGATGAACATTTGTGATTGCATTGGGTTTCTCTCTATTTCAGTTTGGGATCAGGATTGAGCTTCGCAAGTGGCTGGAATCTCTGCTGTGCAGCCATTAGTTGTATGACATCACACCGCTCCTTCCTGTTTGTGGTGGATTGTTATGTTCAATTGTTCAATTCTCCTGTCTTTCAGTGTGATGACATGGTGAGCAAATGTCGTGAAATGATTTCTAGGTCCAAACCATGATTTGAGGTGGCAACTCAAGTAGCTTTGTTTCCAACGGAAGAACAATCCACTACCCCCAAAGGTGATAGATATTTTTCAGGCAGTCTTGGAATACAGCTTCCACAACTGTTCAGCAATGGCCCCATGATCGCCGGCAAGACATATCGGGTCTTGTTTTGATTCCTTTGCGTTCACTGTATTCTGCTGCGGTAAAGTTTCACCTGGGATATAATTGCCTTTGAACATGTGCAATGCGTAATCGATGTCACTGGTTTCAGGTTCAAAGCAACATCAGGGAGTGAAACGCACATCAATATTGCACCATGTTAAAGATGAACACTCGTGCCACCCATCAACGTTTCTTGTTTGGGAAGCTACAGATATTCCTC